GTCCGACGGCAGTATTTAAATGTCACTTGTACCACTTCTCCTGTTTTTATGGTAAAGCCCTCCGGAGCACTCTGGACCAGTCTATATGTGATACAAATTAGCCAATAAGCTGTCAGTCAGGCTGCGAGCCACTTTTAGAGACAGCAGGCAAACCTGTGGCAAGCTGGGCGATGGGAAAGAAGGAGGAGACAATGAGAAAAAGAGAGCAGAGAAAGTGTGGACTGCTGGAAGAACTGCGATAAACTGGTGACAAAAAAGATCAAAGATGATCCTGCACATTTTGGGTGTGTTTGGCTCAACCTGCTGCTGTGAAGCAGGATTCTCAACCAGGAACATGATCGAATATAAATATTGATGCAGGCTCAAAATGAGCCCCTTTAAATGTGGTTTAGTATGGCTTTGTTGCCATTCAAACCCAGGTTTAAAGCCCTGCAGATCTACCTAAAGCTCACTTCTCTTATTAAGCCATAAAAACAGTCAGTTCAGGTGTTTTATAAAAATAAAAAAAAGGGAGTCAGGAAATTCTCTATATACCAAACTGAAAGATTGTTTCCTCCTTCAAAACAATTTAGATTTTAAAATGGAAAAACATTTTTTTTTATATATATTTTTCATTTTAAGAATTCAATGTATAACATGAATGCATAAACACCTGCATTTCGGTGTTAAATGCCATTTAAAGTAAAAGACTATAATTAAAAATGTCTCCAGACCGTTGATTATTTTCTTTACTTGGACCCCGCTGATTTTTACTTGGTTATTCCTGCTCTAAATCATGTCACTGACTCTGCATCACACTGATAACACCAAACCAAGACACTGCATAATTGCATCATATATATTTAATGCTCTGAACTGCCATATCAATGTGTATTTTTGCACCATGTTCTTTCTCCTAGACTGTTTACATTTGATCTCTGCTTCACTTTAAGAAATGGAAATGTCATGAAAGCTGTACAAAAAGAAATTTTGTTTCTTATACAAGCTGTGTATACAATATGACAATTAAAGTTTGTTTAAATCTTTTCATAAAGTTCATTCATAATGCTCAGCTTTACTTCCATCTGACTGGAGCAACTTTCTAACCCTTTGTAGCAAACTGCATTGGTTCTTCAATACTCTATCGTCCGAGGCCACTTTAAAAGATTACGGGAAAAAAGTCAACATGCCACCGTTTTTAGGTTGCTTTGACAGTTCAGTCGTATGACTCAGTGAAATAAGCGGGAAAGCTCCTCCAGTCTGGCCAACAAGTGCTTTTAGTGGCAACTTAGGGTGAAGCCTTGTTTTCAGACCACAGATACAGTCATGAAAGAGTGAGTCCATCCCACACAAAGAGTGTGATGTACACTCACGGTGTTACGCTCTTTCACTCTCGGACTGGCTGTGGTCTTTCCTTAGCACTGCCATGTCTGCCCTTTTCCACTCTTTTTCACCATTTTAGGGAGAACTTAAAGCTTTCTCTGATTCATCACCAGATAGTAGTAAAGGTATATTTGATTAAAGATTTTAGACATTTGCTAGGGCAAATATTTAATGTTTTATTAAATAAAGATGCCAATTATTAAACTTTCTGTAAACATAAATGTTTTCACCTCCTCCGCAAAAAAGCTGAATTTCCCTCATCTTCAAAGAACCAACATAAACTTCGTGATTTAGATCAGTCTCTCTATCAGAACCAAAAAAAAAAAAGCAGCGCAGCACATCCACCCATGGAGTGAAATGCAAGCCAGGCACGTTTGAAGGTTTGTTGGCTGTTTATGTTAGCAAAGCCTCATCAGTGCATAGAGGTACATGACACAGAAGCAGGGGGTGATGCTTTGAAGATCTGACATGACTGAAAGAAAAAAAAAAGGCAAAGAGGGAAAGAAGAACAAATGCAGGAAGAGAGGAAAATGCAAAGTCAAGCAAGGGAGTGAAAGGCTGAGTGGGCAGGATGGGATCATTCCAATAAACAAACCAGGAAGTAATGCGCTTCATTTCTAATGGGTTTGTCTTAACAATCAGAAAGAAGACACTTATTACAGTAAAGACTAATAAATGAGTCTCTTAAAGGGTCCAAGAAAAAACCTCAGTAGTATAGCTGACTTAATAAATAAAACTTTTCTTGTAAGAGGGAACGTTTTCCTGGGAAAAATTTAGAAAAGAAACATTTCATTTATTCAGTCTTTAAAAAGGCCGTTTTGTTGGTTTTGTCACCTGATAATAAGTACTTATATCTACATAAGCTCAGAGCTTTAGGAGTAGCAGCGAAAAGGCCAAAGCAGAGAATCGATGCTTTAAAAAGCTGCCTTCAAACCCTGATGATTTGCTGCAAGAAAAGCGGTGAAACAGATGGAGTATCACCGCTATTCTCTGCGTTACACAGACATTCAATCGAATCCTGAGGACAGAGTTCATGTTTTAAAAAGGGAAGAATTAAGGTTCCCTTTTATAAAGAAGCAAACCTTCGCCATATTTACTTTTAAGCTAAATTGAGATGTATGCACATTTAGTAAGGGAACTAAATAGGCAACAACATTTTGAAATCTATGCAAAATTAAGTCAAATCAACAATATTCAGGTAATGAAATTATTACCTAATCTTATCCTATTTTGGAGATAAAAAGAGAGGTACAGTTTGAGTTACTTTATTTTGACTAGCCTCAAACAAGATAACCATAGCTCACAGTGCAAAACTAAAGAGATGTTTTCCATTTTTGAATACATCTAGTCTAAATCTAAAGACTGTTTTCCCAATAATCTTATTTTAGATATAACAGTTTTAAACATTATCTTTCTGAAGAATACGGCAATAGAGAGAAGAGTGGCTGAGATAACTGCCCTTTTATTTGGGATTGGAGTAATAAAACAGCTGAAATGTAACATTTAAAAAGCCAAAGGAGTTCAAAAGTCATGGAGCCAAACTGCTTTCATGCTTCGCAAGGCTTCTGCATCATTAGTGACGACAGTGAGACCACTGCGGGTAAGTTATTCCTTGGGGGATCTTTGTGGTTTCCATTTAGTACCTTTACTTTATGCTGCTTCCAAAAAAAAGGTTAATGGAGCCCCTTAAAGAAAAAAATGTGGTTACAGACGGTTCTACATGGACAACCGAGAGAGGGGAAGAGAAACGGCAAACATTCAGCAGCTTGGAAGAGCAGGAGGGCTTAGAGCTGATATTCTCTGTAACTTTTTAACTTCTAGTTGGTCTGTTTAGATTTTTGAGAGCTTAAAGTGAAGCAAAGTATAAAGGAGAAGAAAAGATTCATAGCTTAATTAGAATTGTTTCTGTTTAAAAAAAAAATAACCTGTTCAATGCAGCTTTCATTTGTATTCTGCTCCTCCGAATTGCTCGGATTGGATGAAGAGCATCAGAGAACATCCATTTTTAAATCCTGCTGCAGATTACAGTTGGATTTAGTCCTAGACTTAGACTGGGCCTTTGGAACACATGGATATGAATTAATATAAACCACTGTAGCTCTTACTTGTAAGTATTGTACCTTAGCTCCAGTCTCAAATAAAGGACTTCCCACAGCATGATGCTACCAGCTCCACAATTAAAGGGAATTTTTATTTTAATTTGTCTAATCCTTCCTATATTTGAGGTTTACAATAGACAACTTTAAGTTTAAATTAAGTTCCATTAAGGTCATTTCATCCCAAAGCAGCGTGTTCTGAGCCCATGACATCATCAGACACCATCAGTTAGAGGCTTTGCAGCCTTTGCAACAGCTTTTCCCCCGCTGCCATCAGAATGTTGAACTTTTAAACTCTAAACTGGACGCTTCATCACACTTGCAACATTATTTTACACCAACAAAGCGCTGAAAAATTTTATAATCCTTTTTTAAATAGAACACAACTCAATGACTACTGCATTTTTGCACCATATTTATTTTACACTGCACTGAACCTTTCCATATTAAAGCCCTTTTGCACCATTATTTATTAAACTGGTTTTTTTTTCTCCATTATTTACACACTGATCACTGCTGCACTTTATAATTGCAATGTTCATTTCACTGTTGTAAGCTGTTAGCAATGTAATTTTGTTTTATATCCATTCTGTGTATACAAAACGACAATAAAGTTTGTCTAAGTCTTAAAGTCTAAGTCTTAAAGCATCCTTCTTGCCATATCAAGCATTCTTCAACAAAACAACTTCACAACAAGGCATAATGTAACTGCAAAACCCCCAAATTACAAAAATCTTTCTTTAAATACCCTTAACTAATTTCCTGAGGTCTTAAATTTCTGCCTAGTTTGAGTTTGTTGTTATTTATTCTGTTTTGGCCTCTTGGACAAAACCTCACATAATTTGATCTGAAGAAAATTTCCTTGTTTAATAATGGTTTCATTTCCAATAAAATAAAAAAAAGGCTTATAACCCGGCAGCCTTTTGATTCAATTTAATAGAAAAACCAAAAAACATATCAACTACTTTTTTTTCTGTACACAGTCTATTTTATATTTCAAAAAGCATTAAAGTCTAAATCCCCATCCCTGTTCATATTGACCATCATCATGCCTCAAGTCTGGGCTTTGAAGTAGTGTGTTTGGACTGTGTGAGGAATTAAGTGTGACAGTAAAATAAAACATTCATCTGGTAAATATGGCATAACATAAACGCCAACAGCAGGGGGGCTCTGGAGAGAACAGCAGGGTGTGCACAAACACAGACACAAACGTGCCAACACGGGACACGCTACGCCTCACACACCACAGAGAAAAATCAGAAGTGCTAACCAGAAAATGACTTGATGAATAGAATTTCAAAGCACATTTTCACACAAAGAGGGAGGGTACGTCGCAATATAAGCAGAATAGATGACAGTAGAGAGTAAAATGAGAAAGTACAGAGGGTCCCAGGGGAGATTTTCTACAACCTGTGCAGGTGAAGTAAAAAGTCACAGCGTCATGCCATCTACAAAGGCATCATCTCTAACATCTATAACATGAAGGATCAGGGAGTTAATGGAGTGAGAATATAGAGGAGGAGAGGGGGGGGGGTGACTCACCGATGTATTCAAAGACGAAGACGACGAAGAACGGCGTGACCAGGTCATTGATGCCTTGAACGTAGCCGCTGGCTGGATGCCGGATGGCCCAGATAAACAAAATCCGCTCAAAAATCTTTAACAGAGAGACAGAAACACTTAGTCCAACCAAAAACAAAAAAAAGAAAGAAATTAGATCACTTTTAAAAGATTAAGTTGTTTTTAATTTGGTTGAACCCAAGAAGCAGTTTGGATGCAGTGTTTCGCCTACAGCTGTGAAGAAACATGGGGCCAAAATTCACACTCTGAAATGTGTCTTTTCCCAAATGGCCTGAGAACCCTTTAATTTGGAACGAGTGATTACAGCACAAGCGGAAAAATTGAAAACAAATACACATTTCAGTGCTCCTGCTGTGCCATGTAACTGGGAGCCAATGTAGCAAAAAACGGCCCCATGTTTGTCCAGTTTTTGTTTGGTTTGGGTATTAAAAGAAACACTGCAGCGTTAATTGTGACAGATTTGACTGAAAGCGTTTAGTAAAGGAGTCGGGTGTGGAAAAAGGCAGCCATATTTCAAACACAATCTGGTTAAAATAAAATAAAATAAAAAACAGTTAAATGGATAAACCAATGCTCTAGAGGTGTGTTAGTAAAGTCCATTAATTTCACACATGGTGAGAAATATTAATTTTTCCCCTTCTAACACTGTTTTTTTCCCCTCCCTGATGGAAGTCGCCTTCTGATCGGTCGCCACCATCTTCAGTGTTGCAGCTGATTCTCTTTTTTTTTTTTTGGTTTATTGAGTCGCTTTTAGAAACATTGGAGAGTTTAACTTTAGCAGATGACATTAACTTAAATCACTATGTGATTAGAGGCTACCTCCTTCACAGACAGCACAAACTAACCTAGCTAAGGGCAATAACTGTGCTTATTTTTTATATGAGGTACTTATCTGGAGCTCCCTTTTCTTTTTTTTTATGCATTGCCTTGTTTCATAAATCAGTTATTTTACCATACAGTAGTAGCCATTCAAAATGTCCCCACTTGATGGGCCCTTGGCTGGTCCTCTGCTCCCCCAATTGCTTTTTAGACATCAATCTTTGTACTAAAATATTCTCTCTGTCATAATTAAGATCTATAGAGAAGCATCATCTCCTGGTCACCTGTAATTCAGTGAAAGGGTGGAGTCAAGAGTAAAAAAATATTCATGCCCAGGAGAAGGCCAGTGGCCAGAGTCGACTGGCAATTGAATTGGAAGGGCTATTTTGAATGGCTGCTACTGTAAATATCTAACCGATAAGACATTTATAGTTGTTTAATAGAACTGGTGGGTTGGGTCTTTTAAAAAATCTATTTAGTTGTAGTTGCTCAGATGTATTTTTGGTCCTAATCCACCATTTTAGGGCTTTCTGTTCACATTTCCATTTTTTTATAAGGGACTTTTTAATGCTGGGAACTGAAGGTGACTCGACACTCAGCTTGTTTTTCTTGTGTCCAAATGTCCTTCATCAACGATAACTCTCACATCTTCATGTAACCCCACCTATCTGCCTTTCTTCTTTTCCTTGGGTAGTGTTGTGTTTACAACAGTCGAATTACCAGTTTCATTTTTGGACTTAAAATAACACAGCAATGTCAGACAGTAGCCGATCTCTGGCAGATTCTTCCTCCACCTGCCTGCTCCTTTCTTATCAAAGCTGCATCCATCAAACAGGGAGAGCTGCTGGGGATAGAAGGCCGAGTGGGTAATGGGACTTTCTTTTCATGCAGCCTCCAAAGCTGACATGCATATTTCACCCTGGCAGCTAAACACAGAGCTATGCTGTGGTAAACGACGCCAGTATTCTTTCTTTTTTTTTTTACTTTGGTTGGAAAGAGCCATCTTATTGTTTCTGTGTGCTTCCAAAAAAAAAAAACCCCAAAACAAACAGAGTGAGAGATCAATGTTTGGAGCGCATTCTGTTAATCTCACATTAACCTCAGGTTTTTCCAGCACAGCATCTCGAGGACAGGAAATCGGCTTTCCTTGTGCCTCCTGTGTCAAATGGTTATGGCTTCATCCCATTAGCTTGAGACCCTGAGGACCAAGATAAAGCTAATCGCAAAAGGTGGAGAGGAAATTGCCCCCCCTTCCCAAAAAAAAAAATGGAGTCAAGGATGAAGGCTCTTCATCGATGTCTTTTACACATAAACGAGTAAAGAAGCTCGGCAACAATCCAGCAGCTCAAACAGTTATCACAGCTAAAACGATAAAACAATCGCTTTCTGCTTTTTTACCTTTTTAATTTTAGGTTTTCCATTTCATTTTTTCAGTGCATCTTTATCACATTTTTATTTTGCATTCAAAAAAAAAAAAGAAAAAAGCGGAGCCATGTTTACAGTAGCAGCTCAGTATGTAGTGGAGATGTCAGGGATTCATCCTTACCTCTGATTACAGCAGTTTAACCTGTGCAGAACAGTGGCAGCGGGAGGTGGCGCTGCCTGAGGCACTGCGTGAACTACAGAGCCGGGGCGTCTAACTGCGCTTGTTGAACTTCTCCTTCGATTTTACACGTAAACATTTTTACACCAGTGTGAGTGTTTAGCAGGCTCGTTCGCACCTGTGTCAAGGTCTACGCACTAAGCACCCTCAAGTGCTGGCCTCCTAATTAGCCCTCACCTCATTATGGGGACTTTTCTTTTTGTTTATGGCTCTTTGGCTCATATCTATGACAGTCCTCCACAGAAACTGTGAATAAATAACCCCTGGAAATAAATAAAACCAAGTTTGTTTGTGTAGGAAGCTGAATTTCAATGTTTTGCCATTAGAGCTGCTGATTCATACCTGTGATGAATTAAAAGTAAATAAATCGTGCTCAGTATTTTAAAGCTATTAGTGATTAAGACAACTCTGGTAAGTATATGTAACATTAAATTATGTTAAAATGATGCAGCATTAAAAACAAAATCTAAGATGTATAAATAGAAGAAGTTGCATATTAAAGTGCTTTTATAAGGCAAATATAGAAATACAGGTATTTATTGCAAATTAAATTACTGTTTTTCAAAACAGTTGTGTTATTTTAACAACTTTATGGCCGCTGCGACCCTTAAATCAGGAAGTGACTGTTATATTTGGATTTTGACGTGGATCCACAGTGTCTGATAGATGGACTCAAGTGTTTATTTGATATTGGGTGATATAAATGGTGGAGAGTCAAAGCATACTTTACTGATCGATTAGAAGGCCAAGATAGGCAGCGGTAGGGTCGACAGCCAGACCATTGCTGGTTGTGTCATGCAAAGTTTCTTGATTGATGTTCAACATAGTTTAAATACAGATTAAACCTCTCTAACTGAAACAAAGATCCTGTAAACATTTTATTTTAATCACTAACTGAAGTCTTTGCCTGTGGTAAAGAATCTTATTATTATAAGAGTTGCAAATGCTGAGCTTGCTTTGTATTTGAGGACAAATTAAATGAAGCTCTTAACAGTCCAAGAAGGGCTAAAATGGTGAAAACTCGACATCGGATAAAAGGCTGCATGAAAAACATCTGCTTTTAGAAGCTCAGGTTAGTCGAGCTGCAGAGAGAATCTCAGCAAGCAACAAGGTAAAAACAGGTACTTATAGTTTTCCTTTCTTAATAGAAAAGATGTAACTAAAGGTCAAATAATTTAGATCTAGTCTACAGTGTGAAAGAAAGTGTTTTTATTAGGTGTTGTTTTGCTTAGCTAGTGTTGCTAGAAATTGCTTTCAGCAACTACTGGCTGCTTCTCTGCTTTCATTATTTCTTTAGCCTTTATTTGTTTGGTTGATTTTTAAATGCATTTTTTCAGGGAAATGAATCCAGCTACCATTAGCTTAAGGCTCATCCACAACCAAAGAAAAAAAACAAAAGCCCCTCCACAGCCATCTCAGTCTCAGGTTTTCTGCTGAAGCAATTAATTGTAAAATTCTTTCAAGGCTTTTGCCACCTTTTTACCTGCCGTTTTTATAAAAGTGGCTAACATACGTCTTAGTGTTTAAACTGTTGCTCATTTCTACCACAACCAAACTCAACCATAAAAGCATATTTCATATTGAGAAGCACAGACAAAGCACACCAAAAAGACATAAGAGTGTCAGTCATGCAGAATAGAAAAGTTCAGGGTTATCTGATTTCATGCATGCCAGAGGAAATTCATTCTGTGTTGCTGATTTTAATTTGTGCTTTCTTCCCATCATGCAGTGATGCTCAGTGAGGGTTTTCCAGTTACTATTCTGCTTCTTCAGGCACCAAATATGACTATTTTCTTATTTAGTTTTAAAAAAAAACAGTCAATTCACATGATTTTAAGTAAACCTAGACTTCTCTGTTGACAGGCCCAGAGAGTCTACCTGAAAGCAAAAAGGAAAACCCTCTTAATGTGAGGTGCTGTGTGTGCTCCTGCAGGGGGTCTCACCTCTTGGACAGAAGCTTGTTGAAAAAGAGGAATAAGAGGATTAGTTCTCGGTATGTCAATGTGAATCTGCGGGGAGAGAAAGAAAGAGAAAGACAAACAGGAAGCAACGGGCAGGTTAGCACAGATCTGGCCATTACAGACAGTGACAGAAACAGAGCGAGCGCAACAGTTAGTGGATTGGTGTTCTTGATTGAAGTCAGACTGGGGTTTCGGTGCTCTGAAATGGAAAGCAGCTGTGGTCTCGGGTGTGCAGATGGGTGTCTTTGCATAATGGGATGTCTCTGTGATGCCGCTGTGTGTCTGTGTGTGAGAGAGACCACGTTTCCACCATTTCAGACCGTCAACCCCCGCAGAGGAACAATACAACAGGCGGACAGATTCATCAGAAGGGAGCCAGACGGATGCAGGGCGGCAGCTGGAGACGGGCCGGCTGAAATAATCGTGTGCGCTTTGTAGCCGCGGCCCTGGACACCTTACCTCTGTCACCTTTGGCTGCAGCACCAAATTTTCAGGGCTCATCCTAGGAATGTCTATGTGAATCTGACAGCAATATGGAAAGGAAAAGGGTTAGAGAATCAAACCAGCACATAGGCGGAGCCAGTGTTTACCAAGGAGTCACATCTCCAACCCCATTTTATAACATTAAAACTACTACTAAACGTAGACATATGGGCAACGACACAAAACCTTAATCTTAGCAAAATCATTCAAGTTCACTCAGCAGAGGCAAAAGATGGTTGATTAACTATATATCTAGACTTTGACAAGGCCATTCTCCACTCTTAGAATGGATTAGTTGGAAAAACAACCAACATATGGGTCAGACACTAGCCAAGGCATTGGCATAGGACCAATCAATTCGATTGGCTGACCAAATAACCAAAAAAATTGTAACTGATGAGTCTAGTTTAGTGTATAAACGGCAAGTAATTATGGACCTAGAAAACAATTACAATGATGTGTTCATTTACAGCATGTAAATGTTGGCGTTAAACCTGGTCGTAACACTAGCACTAACTTCCAAGACGTATTATCAGCAACAGTTGAAGTTGGATGCAGGAGTTGCCATGCAACTGTAGGGTTGGTGGTTCCAGCCCTGGTTCTGGCTTTCAATGTCATTAACCCTAATTAACCAATTACCCCATTTACACTACCCTTGAAAAAGCGATCCATGCCGAGACCGGTCCAGGCTCGGATCAGTTAAACAGGTCGAGCTCGGTTCTGATGACCGTTTACACATCCCGCTTTATGGGTTCCTCGACTCCACGCCTCCTAGTGACGATCTGCGGTATTACTGCCAGTATTGAAGGAGGAAATCAAGCAGTTGGTGGCGGTAATGCACCAAAAGTTGTTTGCCAACCGCCATAAAACACAAGAAGACGAAGAAGGAGGAAATCAAGAAAATCAAAATGGTGGCGCCCGTCACATTCAGAAAGTTATGCTTGATTATTATTGCTGTACTGTCAGGCGAAGACAGCAACCTTTTGTGGAATTACTTGAGAAAGTTAGCTTTTGGAATTGTTGTTTATTGTTGTTCTTCTTTTGTTTTGTGTTGGTCGGCAAGCAACTTCCAGAGAGGCATTGCCGCCAACTACTGCAATGAAGTTTGAATCGGGATGTACAGCCAGACGGAGATGACGCGTTCTGCTCATGCGCTCTTCTTATCAGAGAACCGAGCCAGGGAAAAACCGAGCCGATCCTACCTCTGGAACTGGTCTGCAGTTAGCTCGGTTCAGTTGTGTCTAGCTCGGTTCAGTTCAGTTTGCTTTCCATTTACACACGATAAGTTATCTCAGTTACTGAGCTCGGACCGGTCTCAGCACTGTTTTTCAAGGGTGGTGTAAATGGGGTAAATGTTACGGTCAAAGTGATCAATTTATATTGGTTTGCCCTGCAACCAATATGGATTGTTTAAAACACTATCAAATAAGATTGGTTGTGAACATTCGCTACAAACCAGATTGCTAAATTCAACCAATTTTTGGGTTGAATTGACAAATCACTTTTTAGGGCGTGATGCATATATATGCTGATCTAAACCATTGTCTATCGATTCCACAGCATGATGCTGCCGCCACCATGTTTAAAAGAAGCGATTCCATACAAATAACATTTTGCATGAAAGATGAGAATTTTAACTTTGATTCAACTTCAGCAGGTCTATGAATGTAAAACAATCTGAGGAGAAGATTACAGGAACTCACTTCACCTTAAAGAAATCCATCAACAGAAAGACTCAATGTTTACAAATAACAGTCTACACCCAAAAGGTCAGAATAAGTAGGCAGAATACATTTTTAACCCATAAATTTCAGATTTTAATTTACAAGAACTATTTTCTACAATCCGGATACCTCCTGGTGGAGGTTTTCTCAGGACACACTCAAGTTACACTGAAATACTGGCCTAAAAACGGGAGGCCAATACTTTTGTAGGACATTTAATTGTTCCCTGAATTTTACAGTTCATCCAAAGCTGCTATAATCCGTCTACAAGACAGGATTCAAACAATCGTCAAAACAAAGCGTTCCAGCTCTGTGGCAGCTGTGACGAGGAGATCAATAAGAAACTGGGCCAAATATGAAAAATGTGTGCAGCTTTGTGACCGACAGCCCACTTTGAAGTTTCCTATCAGCTTCAAATGAACAGGAAGAAGTCGAATGTTGAAAAGAACGAGTATGCAGCTGGTGAAAGACTGACAGATAAAAAAAAAAGAGGGAAAAAAAAAAAATAGAGAGATTTTCAAAGCCAGGGAAAAGTGCTCATTTAAGCAGCTCTTTGAAGCTGGTTGTCCCTGCCCTGAATAGAGCCTGATCATGCGCTCATGTTGACACTGACCATGACACAAACAGTCCAGGAAATACATCAGGAACAAGAGTAAAGGACTCTATAACAAGGAAAATTGACTAGTCCCTGCAGATGAATTTCTGGATATAAATCCGGATACAAAATAAGCACAATAAGCTTAAATTGGGCTTCAGAAAAAATAATAATTCTACTGTTAAATAAAGACCGTTTATGTCTATGCTTAGACATTCACATCCCAAGGGTGAACCATCTATTGTTAACTCCTCTGAGGTGACCTGAGCTTAGTGACATGATGCATAATCCTGCAGGTAGGAACCAGAAGGTCCCTAATTTGCTGTTTAAACGATGCTCAGCTGGTACAGATGTGAGCTCGGAAAATAAAATTATCTAAATAACTATGCATAGAGCTGCAGGTGATTGATTCATCCACTCATGCACAGATCAACCTAATAAAGTGACCAGTGAGGGTATGTTGGAAACCTCATGATTCCTTGGAAAGGCTCTTCGTGGGATTCATCTCGGTATCTGCAAGTTTGGGAAATAATGCATATAATCTGACCTCTGTATGCAAGAAGGAAAATTAACTGAACCGTTACGATCACTGAAAGGTGTAAGAACATCATTCTCTAAGGGGATAACACGGGTGGCAAAATAAACATGTCTACCAGAAAATCAAAAGGAATGCTCAGATTAGATCTGATGGCGTAAATTAACCTGCCACATAATCCTAATTCCTCATCCAGACCCTTACCAAAAGGGGAATATGGAACAGCAGAAAAACAGAGCCATTAAGCATATACCTGTCTGTATGTGTCTTGATGGTGCTCATCATTGCGGGAGTCGTAGTACTGCTGGATAAAGCCAAAATATTCTTGTCTCTTCCTCTGTAGAACGCTCTCCCGCCTCTCTGCGTTGGCAGGCAGATAACCCTAAAAGGCAAAGTCATAGAGAGGATTTAAAAAAAAAAAAAAAAAAAAAAAAAAAAAAGTAAGAAGCGAGAAAAGGAGAGGGGCACGAAAAACTTTTGCTTTCAATTTTAAAATGGAGCTATATTTGACGTGCTTTGGATTTTAACAGACTCCTGTTTTAAAAATCGCATGGCACCACTCATCGTAAGTTTTGGATCCTAATTGAAGCAGCAGGAGGCTTGTTATAAAGCAAAGTTGTGGCTGGGAAAAAAGCAAAATGCCTCGGTAGTTTTCGCTGCCAGTTGCCTGGCAACTCTTATTTGGAGAGAAACAGACAAGTTTCCTGTTTATATGCTAAGCTAATCAACTGCGAGCTACAGCTTTTCGTTTTTAAACAGAGATGCAGTGATGATGTCCCTTCATTTTTTGTATCCAATTATCTTTTAAATGAAGTCAAATACAGCAAGTATTTCATATTTCTTCTACATTGATTACGAATGCAAGCTTGCAGGTTTTTTTACTGTGTTTAAAAATGATTAACCAAGAAAGCACCTCTCGTTAATCAACACACCTTTTGCACAATAAAGCATGGTGGGGGTAGCATCATAATTTCTCTTCATTAGGGTGGCAGATCAGGATGTTATATTCAAACCTTAGAAATGAACTAAGACCATTTTAGTTTTATATCAATTGATGGCAAACAACTGACTGACAGATGGAGGACAGATCAAAGTAAAAGAATAATCCACTTATCTGTCAATCTGCATAAATCCAAATCTCTTATCTACAAAATAAACCCAATAAATGGAAAAAATTCAAAATTGAAGTTACTTATGAATCAGTGCAAAAACACCAACAAACAAGGGTATGAATTCCTTATGTCACTAAATGTAATTTGGGAGCAATTTGTGACGTAATTAAGACCTAAAATTGATCATATAAAATGTAACACCTTCATTTTATGTCTAAGACCATGCAGAAACCACAGGGAAGGATGGTGCAAGTTAATGGTAGTCTTTTAATGAAGTGATACATTTCTAAGAGGTCTTTTTAAATTAGAAATATATTTTTATTCTTCAGGTAGCCACTAATTTGTTGCTCTGTCACATGTAATAATAAAAAAAACTGAAATGTTGACTTCAAATGAACAAATCAAGAAAAATGCCCTTAGTGAATTAATAGTCTGAGGATTTCTCTTGTTTTTCATCAAAACATTTTGCACGCCCGCCAATGGGGAGGCGGCAACTGAGCCCGTTTTCTCAAGTCTAGGGTAGAGGGGGGACCCTGAATGAGCTCCTATATCTTTTGATACAAATAATAGTTTATTTTTATTTTTTGCAAGAGAATTGCAGCCTTATTCTTAAGTTTTATAAAATCTTCTCTTATTATTACTTTCTTTGGATGATCCACAGCAGTATTGGGAAGTACACCCACCAGCCATTCCTTCTAACTGGTTATGCTGCTAACGCAGTTTCTCTGAAGTTTGTCAGGCTGCTATACATGAAGCTGGCTGCGCTGCAGGTGGAGACAGGCAAATACAGAACCTGAATCTTCCCCTCTGTACACGGTCAGCCAGCAGCTGCATCACTTAACATGAAGGGTAGAAGGCTCCCACCTGAAGAAGCCGCCTCAAGCCGCAGGTAAAGCTTTAGATCGAACAGAACTTTAGATTTAAAGCCTTAGAAGGTGGTCAGAGCTTAAAGCGCTCTGATGGAGCAAAAATTCAGCAGTTTCTGTTAAGGTTTTTTTTCCCCTTTTTTCCTAGATAAACTTATAATTAAGACTGGGCCAATTGGTGCTGTGAGAAGTTTTGAATTTGACTGACTATATGAACTACAATGCTGCAGTGGAAGTGAATAAATACAAAATCCAACTGTACAGCCTTAACTGCTTCAGAAAGATTTTGACCAGAACAGTTTGTGGTCCAATTTAAACATATGACACAAGTAGAAATCAAACAAGTAAAAACCCATAAATGGGATCAAATGCGACTGGAGCAGGTATGGAGAGCCAAACGTGACTCATATTTCATAAATTAAAAACTGGATAGATCTCTATTAAAGTTAACATTTAAATGTTATTTGAGGTGCATGCTTTAAATATATAAAAAAAATGTTTTTTTATCGTTAATCATTAAATATTTTTCACTAATTTAACTATTCAAAGAAAAAGTTCCATAAACAAATTGTAGCATTTTAGGCAAGACCTCATTCAAAGATTGATTTATCAAGAACAATGGTGTCAGCTGGCCTGACCGTTTGAATTATCCTCCTTTAGGGCAACTTTTTTGTAAATTTGAAATATTTTCTGCTTTAAATGATTTAGTTAACATGAAACCCTAACCCTTTATTTGTAAATTCTCTCTTAAAAAATAAATATATAAGAGTAAAGTAAGTGTTTTTTGTATACAACAGCTTTTGTGCATGTGAAATGTTATAAATCAAAAGCAGAGGCACGTTATACATTAGCGCCCACCACACACACAGCCCACTCCCCTTCCTTCGTCCGCTCACTGCATCCCTCCAGGTGCTCCAGCATGGACTCCCTCGAGCGCACACCACTGTTTGAGCCTCGGTGTTTACAGAGAGGAGCAGTGGCGCTAAAGATGGACTCATAAAAGGAAGCCATGAGTGGCTCAAAAGAGGCTACGAAGGACAGGGAAGGATGTTGCCGTGATGAAAGGCAAATTCTCCTAGTGACTAAAAACGGCAGGAAAATGAATCATCGGAGCTGGAGTTCTGTGTGGAGGCTTGTATGTATTAAAGTTAGCTTAAACTGCTGCAAGTTAAATTTACTGTAGTCTTGGTAACTGTGTTAAGGGTATTTACAATACAACAGATGTTGTTTTGTTTATTTAATTTCACAGTTCATTATCAAATTAACTAAATTTTTAAATAGGTGACATTTAGGACGGATAGATGACTTACATGGGGGGGAAAATCCTGTGTTAAACTGCCGATTGTTTCTCTGATACACATCTAGCATAATTTAGATAATTATTTCATTCCAGATGCTTGTTTTCTTTTTTAACTTTTGACACTTGTTAAAGATATTATTTAAGGTCCAATAAAGTTTGTTTAATAACTTCTGAAAAGTCTATAAAGAGATTTAGTCCTGTTCGAATTTAATTTTAAAATGATAATGATTTTAATTAGATCCCATCATTTAGCAAATGTTATTTATCATTTACGTATTTCAAGACCTGAGTGAAGTTGGCCCCCCCACCTTCTTCAAATCAGACAAAATTAGTGTCAAACGTTTGTGCAGCAAAAATTGGCGTTTGTGCTGCTTTAGCTTTGAAGATATTAATGAAAATGTAAAGGTCAAAAGGTCAACCAGCCCCCCCACCTTCTTCAGATTAGACAAAACGTTTTCGTTTGTGCCACTATCATTTTTTACAGGTTAAAATTATATAATCATAGGTTAGCAACTTATAATTTATATGAAATTCAGAGTTTCAGAATGAACAAATGTTCACTGACCTTTGATTACTTCTACAAACAATTATTAATGTATTAAATATATTAACAATGATAGCAGTACAAAAAATGTATATATTTGAAAATATATTAAAATATATTTATTTCAAATATTTTATATTTAAAATAAATTTTAAAATTTTATATTTTTGTATGACAAAAGTTTTCATTTGTACTGCTATCATTTCAATGATATTAATATTTTGTAGACGTCATCAAAGGTCAGTTAACATCTGTTTTTGCTGCACAAACCAGCACAAACGGAGCTATTGAAAGTATGATTGCCAATTAAGAGGACCGCTTATTTAGATGATTCACCTGGAAATAAAAGATCACCCTCTATATCTTTAAGTAATATTGTCCTGAAGTAACGATACTCTTACAGTGAATAGATACTGTTCTATTAATTGTGTTAGGATCCCGAGTCAGTTTTTATTTTGTTTTTTTTAATATATGTATTGTTGGTTGGGGGTCCTGGGGGGATTCTCAACCGGGCTGCCAAATGAGCTATTGCAAACTTTTAGCTGTGTGGCTAAAGTTTGGTGCTGCCCTGGCCTTCTTAGTTATGTGTGTGGGAATGCGAGAATGAGAGGGCATCCCTATGCAGTCCAGCTTATGCAACCAGCAGAAAGAGGAGCGCAGCCAGAGGAGAAAACAATATCTGCTGGATTTTGGGCAGATTCTAAAACAAACATGACTTAAAAGTTTTAAAACTATTAAAACTTAAATTGAGGCCTGATAAAACCTCACAATTTTAACAAAAACAAGCTGTTCTTGCTATCTTCCTCCGAGTGGATAACCAAGTAAAGAGGCAGTTCTTCTTATTCTTATGCAAGAAAGCTGAGGAAGTTTGTTTTTCCCTAAAGATCTTGGAAAAGTATCTTTTCTTTGTAGAGTTTCAACTGTAAATAATAAAACTTTGTCATCAAGAGCAAATATAAAGGATTCTGCAAATGCATTGCAAAGATGTATAAATATACCAATTTAGCTGTTTTTTCAGATGTAAGATTTCAATTTTTGGCCTTGAGAGACAAACAAACCATGTATTTTCAGCAGACTGTTTCCTCTTTGCTGTTTACTGTGGAGTCCCCAGACTCCGGTTCTTAAAGGTTCAAGAAGTATTGAGGGTTATTTGTTTCTTACAACACACAAACAGATTGATATATTCTTGGCTGACACATTCAAACCCTAAGAATGGTTCAAAGCGAACTGAGCTGTTAGAAACAATATAAACAAGCTGTCAATTATTTCTATTCCAGTCATGTATTTGTCATGACAATTAAACCCACATGTAATATCTAATTTTACAGCTCACATCATTTCCTTCATCATGATTCTTTTCCTCATCTACACTGCCTCCCAGCCAACGCTGCCATGCATCCAGACGGCCATGTTTGTGCCAGCACAGATCAGGCTGAACATTGGCCATGTTTATGCCCGCCCCCTCTCCACCCCAGACTTTCTACCCAGCAGTCCCTCTGCCAAAACATTCCAAGCGTCACACGTTGAGGCGGCTCCATATGCAAACACCGGCTAGCTTGC